CCCAACCCAACCATTCCGCTGATAAAGCGTTTGCGGAGTTTCGTTGCTCTTCAACCAGAACTTGTGCAGTAGCCATCTAGAGAGCTTGAACATGCCGGCGTTCTCCGCATGATTACTCAGCCTTTCTAACGTCTTCGAACTGAAAATACCACGTTCTTCCTTATCCTGATCGGCTGTGGTGACGGATCGTAGTAATCTTTTGCGGGGTTTTGTCTTTTGTTTTGTATCAAGTTTTGAGGCTTCAGTAGGTGTTCCATGTGACAGCACCTCGAGAGTAACTATGAAAGTCATACTGATCATAATTATCGCAGAAAATCGTCTCATGCTGGTAGGTCCTACACACCCGGACGCTAAAGTAGAAATGGACGAATAATTGCGGTGCAAGAATCATTGGACTGTGGTGACTTTGGTACGTTCGGTTGTATTTCATAATGGCCACAAACCAGAGACCTGAATTTCTTGAAGACCATGTTGTATTTTTGTCTATTTCACCGATGAAAAATTCCGAAGCAAATGTTATAACTCATAAGCAAGCTTTCGGCTGTTGGATGATTCTTTTGGGCATAGATAATAGCATCACATGGTGAATATAAGACAGTTTTCCTCACACTTGTCCTCTATTTCTCATGAGAAAGTACGCTAGATAAGTTTTGACCTTTCAGTGCTCTGTAACTTGCCTAATTTATGTTCTTTTTGACCATCGAGTTTTGTTACATTGCTAGGAGATTACACAAACAAAGATTTATTCACCATCGTGTTGTGATAGTTACGATATGCACCTATTTAGGTGCTTGTCAGCGACGATTGGATTAAGTGATTTGCATTATGTTACCAAGGGCATCGATTAGAATTTCAAAGCACCGTATGGTTCGAAGGAAACTTCAAAATTTTCTACTATCAAGATACAATTGCAAAAAAACGTGCTTCGTTATGAGTCAGTAACAGCACTGTATATACGTACACATGAAAAAGCCTTTACCAGTATTTCCAAGCTGGTGTCTCGATACGTCAAGAGCTTGCTTGCTTACCACGTCAAACAATTGCTTCAACGCGCGTGGAATATTCTAGTACTAGCATGAATCGTCCGCTGCCCGTTCACGTAATTTACAACTTTTCTTGTTCTGTACCACTCTTGCCCGATCCGAGGCTATTTGTATCCGTTTACGCACCAACGTGGACCGATACTGTGCGGGTCAAATTTTAAACGGACGTAAACTTCTCTCGAGAGATCGTACCTACTAGATATTTCAGTCGTAAAATTGCTACCACCACTGTCGTTCCATTTCCCATCCCTGGACCCGACAGCACGCTTGAATTCTTCGTGATACTTTCAATCGCTCTCACTTTCCAGCATCATAACTCTGTAGCACAAACGCATGTTGCTTGAGCGTACTTTCCGTGTGCTTTGTACTGTACCTATTACTTACCGATGTTTGTGCTTGACCTGGTCATCCAACGCTGCGATTTTTTTGCTGCATCTTTCAAAACTCAGGACTGAGTCCTCCATTTGACTACATCACTCCCTAAGTGATGCATCTGGAATTGTTCTCTTATACCATTTTTTTAACTCAATTTTTTATTTAGACGAAATTCCAGTGAATCGCACCACAATGAAGCTTCATACTAATCAGGTAAGAGAGTGTTTACATTACAAACTCACTTTTGTGCCTTTTTGATCGCTCATACATAATTCTTTTACCGACCAAACTGCTGTTACTAATGTCTGTATACTAACAAACGTCATATACAACGTAATGCACGACTAAAGTGAAATGTTACATCTCATGCAGTGAATAAAAATGTTCTGCTGCCTAGTGCGGTGCAATAACTACTTTTGCAGTTTCGTGCAGCCACGTGGATCAAGCGCAGACAAGACCCGTCATCAAATCTCACAACAGGGTGACCCGAACAACGTTCATTGCACTCTTTGGGAGCAAGATGTATGTGAGATCTGTAGTGATGGGAGAAGCTCAATTTAGTATGTACAAGATGTACTATGGGGGCTTACACGGAGCTGTTCACCACCCACTTCAGCGGTGGTAGTAGTGTGATGATCTGGGCCGGTATGAGCGTCTGTTAAAACCGCACGTACGGCATCCTCTCGGATACCTTCAGCGAAAACCTTCCCAAAAATTACCTGTTTTCAACAAATTAGCCGTCTGAGATTCATTACCGAAGCCATGGACATAATGACATTCAAGTAGTCCGAAGTTTGGTCAGAAGTTATTTTATGGTCGACCTCAATTCGACAAAAAGGAGGATTCTCGAAGATCAAATTATCCTGAGATCAACTCAAGCTATCTACATGACTCGTAAATGTCATGCCGACACGCATGAAACAGAGCTGGCTCAAAAATGGTAGCCTTTCTGACAGCGAGCAAAATAATTTTGTGGTTCTTGAAAAACTATCTAAATGTAGAGTTTATAAATTGGTATCTGTGTTATATCGCATAAATGGTTTTGATGTCCACTTACTTAGCCGCAATATTGTTCGCATTAGTATCTTAAGTGTTGAGCGCCAAAAGTTTGTTACGGAAGAACTTTAATGATGCATCTGCTGCTGTAACGGGTAGCATACTGTGTCAACAGTCCAATTCGTTGAAATATCTGATGAAATATACAAATATAAGAGGAAGATCTAAATTGAGCTCTTTCGTTGATACAGATTACGCCGTCACATATACATCTTATTCACAAAGAGTGCTGAAAATGCTGCACGGGCCACCCTTTTGAAGAAGCTTGATGAGTAGTGCTGACCTGCGCCTTGTCCACATGGCCGCACAAGAAATTTGTCATGATAAGACGTATTATTTTACCATATGTCTGGCATAATGTTGCTTGGTATTTGACATTTGTTAGTTTCGACCGATAAAGGAATAATATCAAGTATTTAGAGCAAGTTTGTCATGTAAAACCTAATATTTGCAGTTACAAAACCAAAAGTTGTGTGCTATCATTTATCGCCATCTGATTTCCTAAAAAAGAAAACTTTTTGATGCGATTTGCGCTTCAGTCCAGTCTTGCATAATGAAGCACTCCGCTTCGTGTGCAATTGAAAGAGCGGTGCGGTACTGAATTGAGCTTGGAAAATTGATAGAAGAGGACGAGCTATTACAGTGCTAGAGGCTGCACCTAGGGAGTAATGTAGTCAAATAGAGATCTGTAGTTAGTCGTACGATTCAGAAGTTTCGAAAGGCGCAGACCGATGTTGCAGCATTGAATGACCCGTCCAAATACAAGCATCGTGAAGTAACGGGTGCAGTACAGAGCTGTAGGAGTACACGAGAAGAGCGCCAAAGCGATGAGGGTCTAAGCTACAATAGATTTATATTGCTAAAATGAGGTTTGATTGATTATGTTAAAAGTGTACTTTCGTGTAAATTGACTAGACAGATGCGCTAACGTTAAAAAAATTCTGGCCACGAGCTCTCGATAGATGATTACGCTCGATGAATGTTTGAACCGCATAGTGCGCAGCGAGAGATAGGTGCGCGTTGTTGCGTAATCGTATACAAATTATGCGATTTAGCGTCGGATCGGGCAAGACAAGTACACTGATGGATACAGAACAAGAGTCTTTAAAACATCTCGTGAACGGACAAATGGTAAATGGTATTGCTGGAACGATGCCACAGGCGTTACAGCATTTCTTAACATTCGAGCTTGTGAACTTATTTTTATTGACAACTCATCATTCAAATTACCGGAAGAAAACGTAAGGGATGTGTCAAGAAATTCAGCAAATCTGTTGTTAGCTTGTTGCCATTACGAAATACAATCGCACGTACTAAAGTCCGTGCATTCCAATGGTAAATTACACCACAACTATTTGTCTATTCCTGCTTTAGCGTCCGGGCGTGTAGGACCTACAAGCATGAGAGGATTTGCTGCGGTACGTATGATCACTGTTACTTTGACGATTATTTTCGAGGTGCTGTCACATGGAACACCTATTGAAGCCGCAAATCTTGATACAAAACAAAAGACAAAACCCCGCAAAAGATTTCTACGACAGCCGATCAGGTAAATGAAGAGCGAAGTCTTACTGATCCAGGGACGTTAGCAAGGCTGAGTGATCGTGCGGATAACTCCGGCATGTTCAAGCTCTCTAAATGGCTACTGCACAAGTCCTGGTTGAAGAGCAACGAAACTCCGCAAACGCTTTATCAGCGGAATGGTTGGGTTGGGAAAAAGGACGATGAATTGATGAGGGTCGATCCAGAAAGGTTTCGCAAATACAGAGGATATGACGATCGTTGGATGAAAGCCAAAACCAAGAAGGGAGTGTACCTCGAAGTAGAATTTCCAGATTCAAAGAAAAAGTCAACGCGAGAGAGCAAAAAAGTTCAGCCATATAAGCCAAAGCAAAGGGGCAAAAAAGCTCCGTTACATGTAGATAAGGTAGTTTATGTTTCTTAATGCACATCTTTACCGAAGTATAGTTGACATCAAATAGAGGCAAAGGCATTATTCAAGTGCTTCTCCTTGATTTCTTAGATGACTGAATTATCAATAAGTGAAAGTCGCTTGACAATTGTAAGCAACGAGTGCGTACAGCAAGTAAACGCAAATTCAAGCACATTTGATGGCTACAATGGTCAATGGATCTCTTACTAGGCGTGTGAACAAATTGATTTTTTCCATGGATATTGATATTGTCTTCATTCGACCGTGCGGCAACATCTCGACTCCTTTCTGTACGTTCAACGAACGTAGTAAAATTTCACTCTGATGCTTTAATTGTTTGGTCTAAAAATGCTTTTTAAAGGTGCGATTTCAAATCTTAAGTACAGAAAAAAATAAGTCGCTGAAATTCGCTGCTGAAACACGATATTTTACATATCACGTTTGTAAATGCAAGTGCAGAAATAAGCAACAAAAAGTAGAACAGTACACTTCAATAACTGGTATCCTTCCCAAAAAGATTCAGACAAATGTATTTACTTCATATATGGCGATTGTTTCAGCTTCTGATCGGAATATTAAAGCTGTTATCCAAGCTGCTGCCAGCACATCGATCCCGGAATTTCTTATAGCGCGGTGCAAGTGCGTAAGAAACTATTGTGAAAACGTAGAAAGTGTGCAGAGGAAATGAGATGCGAAAGACAGAGACCAAGTCCGCGCGTTTCGCACGGGGACATGTCAGAAGCTCAATTGAATCTTCAAGTGGTCTTGAAAAGATCGAAAAATTCATCTAATTAAGATTTTTACGAACAAAATAGTCCTTGCTATGATGTGGCACAGAATACCATGAGCGATGGATCAATGAGTAGTAAAACTGTGTTGCACCCACTTCACATTCATTAAGTTTTGTGAGTCATGAAATCAAATCAGCTAGGAAGCTGAAGCGCGTTTTGAGCTGTTTGAACCGCGTGACGTCTGATGTTTAGGAAAATACTACTCAAATAATGAAGTAGTCATATTGTCAGTGTCTTGAGCAAATAGTGAACCGCAGAGGCAGTAGTTAGGTGCGAATTCGGGATTAGACGTGAAAAAAAATGAACTTCGATCAGGCGCCAACTTGCAACGGTATGTCGCGGCTCCCGGAGCTCCTGGTTTTTCCGATGGAATCTACTAGTTTAATTATATGCAGGGGGGACCACATATTAGTTTTAATGAAACGGATGGGTTTTGTGGCCTCCAGGGTTCAGTCTCATGAAAAGCAGTCAAAGTAATTTAGGGTTGCAAAAGGTAGCCCGATTGTATTACATATGGTCCATCCTTGACACGACTTGGCGTCTATGCTGGGTCAGCACTATCCTGCGATGTGCTTGAATGCAAAGCAGTGATTTATAACGGCTTGTGTTACGCCATTGATTGGGACAGGTCGCAAATTTGCGTTTAACTGAATAAATGAGGTAGTCCTAGGGAATGTTTACTCGTCCTCAAAACTTCAGGTAGGTGCTCTCTTCGAGCATTAAAATTTCTTCTTTGGGGTGTATAAATGATTGCAAGTTGACTAATTTAAAAAATAGGTATGGTGAGTAAAAAGGAGGAGCTGAGCTCATTAATGAGTTCATCATTAAAGACGCTTACCAAGTCAGCGGTCTGACGCCATAAACGTGCAGCTGAAAAGTTTAGTATGAGAAAGAAATTTTTAACTCGGCACCAATTTTCTGCCTTAGATGAAACAACAACAAGTAGCAAACTTTGCATACTAATAAGAATCCGAATGCAGTCACTTTTCGACGCTGCTTCGACTTGCAACACGAATACCAGGGTCACTTGATAAACGATCAAAGCCATTACCCATTCGCACAAAAAAATTGCATGTTTGTGAGATTGATTGCACACTTACAGTGCAAGTTCTGCCGACGTAGTACGGTCCGTAATAGATATTTAAGAACACGAATGGGTTTTGTTGGGGCGGGAAAATAGAAGAGGTTTTCAAGTCTACGCCTGGAATGCTGTAACGTTGCCATAGCCTGTGATTTACTCTAAGCTGGTACCAATAGGCATGAAAGCGTGGTCATGTCAATTTCAAGCTGCTGTAAGATATCTCTGCCTGCTATTCTACTGCTACTTGTATAGTTTATACTCTCGTCAAATTCTGAGAAATTTGGCTCGGTGTATACAGATCAGGCGTCATTGTGCATTGCGATGCCGTCTTTACATCACTCGCAGTATACGTTATCTCAATCTTATAAACTGTCAGGTTTCAGCTGACTTAGCCTAACGTGATATCGGTGCGCTTCAGACAATGGACTGGCGGATGTCACGATGATGATGTCGCCGATTGATGAGGCGATACGTACAGTATATAAATCGACGCATTTTGTATTGCTTTGCTAAAGGTTTGAGAAACTAGAAGCGCTGAGCTCATATGACGATATATAAAGACTCCTCATTTATCGCATAGAATGGCTCGAAGGTTTTTCCGCACTCCGATATTTGCTATACCACATCACTAACCAATTTGATACTCATCGTGTGGTAATAAACGATAAGAATGTCAAGTACGAGAGACATGCTGCGCCGTTCGTTGACCACATCGGTCAATGAAAGAGATAGAGTTCGGTATTTTCTGTGAAACGGTGTTTCAAGGGACAAGCGCTTATGTGCACACATATGAAGCTCGTCAACAAATTCGACCCCGCCGCATGCGTCATCATGTTTGGCCAGTCTGCGGATTCGGCAGAATGTAGCCCATTAGTGCGGATTTTCTTGTTTCTCAATGAATGTATCTTATGCTCGACCTAAATCTCAACGCAGTGAATTGGCTTCGTAACTCCTGCAGTGTTAGCATCCCAGTCACACACCAGAAAACCTCTATCTTTGTAACCTACCACGTATTATAACACGAATTTGTTTGCATTTTTATGCTTAGATAATCTACACCTATCCATAGTTAAAGGACGTCTATATTATAGACAGGATACTTATCAATTTGCTTGGCTAAATAATCTATGCTACTGTACTGTATAGTTTTTTTTTTACCGGTTTAGCCGACATTTTTGGCCAAACAGCGGTCTTGTAGGGTTC